GCTCTTCCGATCTTATATTTGGGAGTGACGTAGGCACAGAAAACTCTAGGTCAAAGCAGGTCCTTGATTCTGACGTTATTGCTTGAAAAAAAACATCTTCAAGAGTTTAAAAGCGAAAGAAGAAGACAATCTTGGCTGGATGGTGTCACTTTGGACGTTACCATCAATTCCAGTACGCGTCACAGTAGTGAGGAATGAACTTACGTAAACACCACTATTAGAAATTAATGATTCAGAATCCAACTGGAAGGTGAAACGTGTACAGCCGGATCACTTGCATCCGGATGGACCAAACGTCTGACTTAGATCCCATTTGAATGAAAGTTTAGCCCAATTTGACTGCATAAGTGTCATGATGAGTCAGCGACCGAGTAATCTCGCACTTTTCGCTACAATTTTGAAAACTGACGTGGGGTCGTGGTCAACAAGATGGCTGGCGTGGGAACGGGGATTCCTAACCAGACGTAGAATGATCGTTATAAGGTTCCTCCAGAGAGTCCAAGGTATACTTAGGAACGTGTTCTTCACTTTGCTTTTCAGGGCTTATTTCGGCTCATTGTATATAATTGTTGTCATTTGTACGGAGCTGTTACCCAGCTGGTCTAAGGAACAAGGATTCAAGGATCCTGGATCTGTCTGGACGCCTTCCCGAACAGATGAGACACAGGACAACAGTCAGTATGACGAGCCATTAAATTAAGCTTTCACGCATAGTGGAGGCCTTACGCTCCCTCGCCTGCACAGAACAACAAAGTAGGCTAACTAGCCACATGAGAGCTACACATCTTTCCTCCCCCTTAAGAAAGTTCAGCTACTCATCTAATAATTAAAAACGAGGGAGATGACAAGTGGCCTGAAGCGTAAGGAATGTAGTATCTGGATTGAAGCGGGGCTTCATGAGGAATACAAAAAAAACGTTTTCGGTTCAGTAGTTTACACAGTGACGCCATCAGTTAAACCACAGGTGAGAATAGTAGTATGTCTGATGTCTGTGGGATGCGCATCTGACCGAGACGACGTGTCTAGTGGAGTTCATTGAATCCATATATGAATCCACATATGATGTGTCGTACGACTCCTCCATGCGTTCACTTATTTCTCTACCCCACCCCCGTTCTACAAATTTCTTACATAAAGGCAGCCGGTGGGAGAGAAAGGGTTTGCCATTGCTCCGTCTGGTCCCTCCGTGTGGTACCTTATTGTGGGTAACATTACACCCTAGGGAGAACGCATGCATCTACCGTGAGACTGACGAGTGGATATCAATTTGCCGATTGTTGCTTAATATGACCGTAAAAGGTCGTGCAGGGTTTGCTTGATACATCTGCTTCCCAGTTTCACATGCCACCGCCCATCCACACTTCAAAGGCATCAGAAAAGGACTCAGCTTGACATCAGGACTGCGGATGGTTTACGTAAATTTTGGTTTCCTCGGGAGGCGGAAAAACTGGGTAAACTGTAAATATGTAAACTAAGTTCGATTACCTGTTACCCGGAGCCTGAGAACAGCGCAACGACGCCTTCACATCTGCCTTCACATCGTTCAGTCTTCCGAGGGGCTCCTTGGCCGAAAAATGCCCTCCGCTGCAAAAACTTTGTGAGTGGAATAAAACTTTCTACCCCAAAATGTTGTATTTTGTTACGTATGTGCTCAAACCAAAAACCATCCCAATCTACGTTCATATTTTTGCAGCACACCAAATTTCATTGTCCACTGGAGCTACCATAATTCTGGTGGAAAAGTGTGATGGAATAATTTCCCAGCATCGCTGAAACCTCGGGATGCCTAAATGGGACTCAAAAGTTTGGACTGGTACACTGAATCCAATTGACCAATTGCTTTAGTCCATCTGGGACACGTCATAGGTTTCGAAAATTCGGTTCCATTGTGCGAATACTAAGCGCCTGCGATTACTAAGCGTCTGCGAATATTGAGCGCCTGCGAATAGTGAGCGCCGTTTTCCGATCATCAAATCCGCAAATCATTTTTGCGCCTATGTGCTCACGTAGGTTCCTGCGTCTGACGCACGCATCACTGCATGAGAAACGATCGACGTTACTCCCCCGTCAGTTTTGGGGGTGTGACAAACACGTGCAGGTCATGAGCCCAGTTTTTCTGTCCAGCGGACACGGACGCACGCTGGAAAGACGGTACACCGAGTCAGACTGAG